AGAAGAAATAAGTGACCCCACAAAAGAGTCCATTGGATGAGTACAATTAGATTCCAATCAACTAAGTCTGACAACGTCTTCTAAATTTTGAGATCCAAAGTATTCCGAAAATTCGTCCCAGTCAACCGCGAACTTTCGAAAACTTTGGAGGGGGTTCTGTAGGCTGTCTAAAAATCACAATGGATAGCTAATCCCTATCAAGCCCTGATAATGGAAGTTACAATCAGACGACTTTCTAATCACTGCATCCGCAACTCTGCAACCGCTATAAACAAGGCCTCATCTCTGAGATGATTGATCTTGATGGCTGCGACAACAGCATGACTAATATTATATTAGCAACTATTAGAGATGCTGATGAGCAGTGTAATGATTTCAGAAATAAAAGGTTGGACTTAGTTGGTGAGTCGCTTGGTAGAGAGCTGTGGGCAAATATCCATCTTCAAAACACTATGGATGTTGATTCCCGTCAAGCTCTCACAACGAAAGCTACAATCAAATAGCTTTCGGGTCGACAGTCGGAAAGGGCAAATAGGAGACTTTTCACACAGATCGAGAAGAGTTACAATTTGACGACACTTCCGACAGCTGATGAAAACCCTATTCAGTGGCCTTCACGATCGTTGGTGAGAGTTACAATCTGACGACTCTCATATCTTATAACAGGCAAAGACCAATAAACAATGGCCTTTGCAATGTCATGGCAGACGATGTTACAAGTCAACAACCTCTATCAAACGTAGAAGTTTAATTCTGCGTTTCTCAAATTCGAAACGCACACAACTTGTGCGTTCTCCAGCGAATGTCTAACTCTGCAACGCAGAGTTCAAGCACCAAACGCACACATAACGTGCGTTCTTCAATAGGTTCAACTACGTGTCCCAAACTCTGGACGCAGAGTTGAGCTTCAACGCACACGGCCTGTGTGTCTCAAATCTCTAACAGAGATTTAACTCTGCATCTCAAGCCTTAGACGCAGAGTTAAAGCCCATAACGCCAACTGAGGCGTTTTGACTTGTTCAAACGCAAGTCGAACGGCCTCAAAACCGTTATCCCACGTTCTGAGGGATTCTCGCCCACAAAGGAGCGGAAATAGGGGTTGGTTGCACTCCACATCACCCTATAAATAACCAACTTACTCAACTGAGTAAGGGGTTGGCGGGTTGATAGGTTGATCAATCGGTTTTCTGAGATCAAAACCGCAAAGAGTTGAGGGGAGCTGGTATCAAAACCACCCAAGGTCAACAAATCTCGGCAGTTGAGTAATCGGAAGGAAGAGATCTTCGGGAGATCAAGGAACTGATCAACGATCAGTTAATCAAATCCCGAAGGATCCTTTCATCAAAGGTATCATCCACTTGGCAATTAACCGAATTTTCGGTTCCAACAACTCTGTTTTAGAGTTTTAACTCATTCTGAGTTCTTAAACTCGTTAAGAGTTTTTAATTAGCTTGTAACGCAAGTTAATCACATCAAACCAGACATTCGGTTTTCAACAACTCTTATCAGAGTTCTTAACTCGTTCAGAGTTCTTCAACACTCGTCAAGAGTTCTAAACCGAAGTCATCAAACACTTCAGTTATTCCAGTGAAGAAGGACGGTCGGATCGTCAACGGAGAGCAAGTTCGACGCGATCAATCGAAGGAAGCACTCCATCGCTACCAAGAAGAACCCAGTCTTAAACAAAGGAGAGAATCAAATCCATTCTCTTCTCTTTTGTAATCGGAATCCAAATTGTAATCGATTTTGAGAGAATACAAGTCAAATTTTCTTTCTTTGTCTTTTTACATCAAATTTCCAACAAACAAAAGATGGCGACTCCGCTGGGGACTAGCTTCTCTGACGAGGAAGTGGTGGCGCAATCCGACGTTCACCTCACAGGAACCACCGTCGAAACTCTCGTCGTAGAGTTCGACCAAGCCAAGTATGAGGAGGTCCTCTCCTCTGGGTCCCTTAGCCCAAAAGCTAGGCGTGATACCCACAGGACCTCTACGGAGGTCAACACTACTGCTGAGATGCCAAAGAAAGCCCTCTCCTTTGGCCAAGACCTTAAACTCGCTCTGCGAGTTGAAGATTCCTCCCCCGTATCACTACGGCAAATAATAGGTCAAAAGAGACCTATGTCGGAGGAAAATCCAACCAACACCGACGATGCCGCGGCCAAGGCCTTGAAACAGGCCAAGAAAAATGCTGCTCGACGAAGGAGAAGATCCTTACGGCGAGCATACTTGCGGAACAGCCAAGCTACTGCCCAACGCAAAGACTGCGTTTCTGAGCCTATGCCCGAACTGTGCGTTTCTGCTCCCGAACGCACACTTCGTGGCAATGAACCCGACTATGAGCCTCGGGTTATCCAACTCAAACGCGACCCTCAATGGCGCGTTGTTCAACATAGACGCACACCTGCGTTGTTCAACATAGACGCACACCTCAAAAGTGCGTCCCAAAACGTGACCTCCAAAGGCACGTTCAATCATTCAAACGCACGCCACAACCGTGCGTTCAGTCAAAACAAGACCCTCAAGGGTCTGTTCAACCAACCAAACGCACACCACAAGTGTGCGTTCAATCAAAATCCGACCCTCAGGGGTCTGGGTCATCAAACAAACGCACGCCACAAGTGTGCGTTCAATCAAAACCCGACCCTCAGGGGTCTGGGTCATCAAACAAACGCACGCCACAAGTGTGCGTTCAATCAAAACCCGACCCTCAGGGGTCTGGGTCATCAACCAAACGCACACCACAAGTGTGCGTTCAAACAAAGAACGACCCTCAGGGGTCTGTTTCAATATCAAAACGCACATCACAAATGTGCGTTCAAACAAAGAACGACCCTCAGGGGTCTGTTTCAATATCAAAACGCACACCTCAAGTGTGCGTTCAATCAGGACAAGAACAACAAGGATCTAGTCCATCAATCAAACACAGGCCTTGGCCTCATGTTTATAAACCTAAACGCGACTCTCGTGTTTCTTATCAAGAGCATGACACGATCCGTGCCCAACCTACCCAAGGGCAGGGGGTTCCATCTCCACCTTCACGAGATCTTTCTCAGGTCTCCGAC